GAGAGTACTGGTAACAGGACACTAAATGAAAAGGGCTATGGCAGGGGTCTTCAAACTTGGCCTTTTATGACTTGTGGGCTTCAAGTCCCAGAATTCCTCTGCCAGGCACGCTGGCTGAGGAATTCTGGGAGTTGAAGTCCACAAATCATAAAAGGGCCAAGTTTGAAGATCCCTGGGCTACAGGAACATTTATTTAAAAAATAGCATTGGGAAAGTAGAAGCGTTAAGACAGGAAAGTTGAAAGAGAAATGTAGCTGCTAACCCAAAAGATGAGAGAAAACAATTGAGTGGTGCAGACAAATGAAAAAAGCAGGTTTCAGTCAGGGAGGGTGAGACTTAGCATTTAATAGCCAGCAATAGCAAGTGGAACTGTGAAAGTCATTCACTATACTATTCACCAACGTTTTTCAACCTTGGCGACTTTAAGACGGGTGGGCTTCAGTTCCCAGAATTTCCCATCCAACCATGCTGGCTGGGGAATTCTGGGAGCTGAAGTCCACACGTCTTAAAGTTGCCAAGGTTGAGAAACACTGCTAGTCACAATAGTTTATTATTTGCAGTTAGCTTGAGTTTGCAGCTGGAATCATTTGTATCTGCTCAAGATATCATTAAAGCTAGGGAGTTGCACCTTGAAACTCCAAAACAAATTGCAAGTTTCATCCATGTCGGATATCTTAATGATTGCTGCCCTCACCTTCCTCACTGAAAGTGGTACAAATGTTATTGATGGTAACTAATCATGATGATCCTATGATCTTGGGACTAACATAAAGCCATCCTGACAACTTAAAATCAGTACATGTTAGATTACTTCCCAGAAGCACCTGAACAGATCAGCCATGGTAGGAAAAAGAGTTAGCTAGGTGTATGTATGGAGTAGTTATGTGAGAGCAGGTTGCTATGGCAGACTTATGGCAAAAACAGTTTAATTAACACAATTAATTGGAAAATTGGACCACCCTAAATCAGAACTGCAATTAATTCAGTTTCCCATCTCTACAACTTTCTCTATGACTTTTAGCAAACTGTAATTTTAGCTAAATGCATCATCCCCGCTGAAATTTAAGACTCATCTTAATTTCATCAAGGTTGCAAGAACACTTTCCAATTATAAAGGGTTTTAAAACATTCCAAATTACTCTCAAAATATTGCCATAAAATAATTAGTGAGGGGGGAAAGTGCAGGGCACTGGAAAAGTAGACCCTCAAAAATTTGGAATAGAACTGATTGTTCCTTTCAAAACTGAGACATAACTTCTATAGTTTGCTTTCTACGGGTATATGAACACTTTGTTTTTCTAGGTTGCGCTGCAAACTTTGGAAGCCTCGTCAATCTCACGCACCTCTTAGCAAGATGGCCCAAGCACTCTAGATTAAAATAGCTCTACATATGGGATGAAACTACATTTTGAGTTGTCAGAAACTTCAGGCTGGGTTCAGGGCAATTTCCAGAGGCCAGCTAATCCCATACCAGCAAATGGTGAGAACAATGCCCCTATTCTCCTGGCATAAGGGCCTCAAAGGGCAAGGGTCAGGTAGAAAGAATTCTCCACTTCAATGCCCTATCGTCTGCAGAATCAGTAGATAAACTGAGGGGGCCTTGTCTGAGGACTGTCTTCCAATCCTGTGCCCAGCACTGCTCATGTAAAAGAACAAAATCAGCCCTGAGAGATTTTCTTACTTCTCTTCCCCCTCCATTCTCCTATCGAAACGTCATTCAGGCATTTAAAGCTAAAATTTCTAACAGAGTATCCAGATTCCACTTTTATCCTATCCTACATGAATTTTCTATGGAAGAAACACTTTAGACTCGTAAGATGAAGGTGTTTTATGGCTATGCTGAAGGCACAGAGACCGAATGACCAATAAAATTTTAGTCTTCCGTAACTCTTATTGATGGTTAAATAAAAACTATATATATATATATATATGCAAGATAAAGAGCTGTGCTGCCACCTAGTGGCCATTTTTGTGATTTACAGACTCTTAAATAAGATTGCAAATACTGTAATTAACCTTGCAATGAAGGGAATAGTTTGCATGCTGGCAGAAGAAAGCAACTTACAAAAAGAAGTGCAGAGTGTACAAGAATACATAGCAGGGTTCCCAAACTTTTCTCAAAGTGATGGGATGACAGCTCTCAGGACTCACAGCATAATGCTGATGTAGCTCAAATACAGCTACAAATACGGACAGCTCAATTTGTGCATATGTGTCAGCCCGGTGCTCGTGTGAGTTGAGCTATGCGCGTGCACGTCGGAACCAGGCCACGGCCCGGTAGTGGGCCGCAGCCCGGGGGTTGAGGACCCTTGGTCTAATGGAATTCATTGCAACTTTACCTGGAAATGGTGTCACCCCTACAACTTCTCTTCTCTTCTTGCATTGATTATTATTTATTTATTCATTTCCTACAGCTGCCAATCTCAGCTAAGTGACTCTGGACTTATAATTCTAACATTATAAAACAGGGGTCTCTGACTGGACTGGCGAGCGGGGGAAGGATAGGGGATGTTCTGTGCAAGCAGCAGACGTGTGTGCTCGCACAGCTCCATTTACGCAAGCGGCAGGTGTGTATACCCGCCGCTCATGCAAATGGAGTTTCCTGCGCCCGCCACTTGTGCGACCTGGTTCCAAACGGGCCACAGCCCGGGGAGTAGGAGATTTCTGCTATAAAATAATTAAAACAAAAAAACCCAATAAAAACATCCCCAAAATAAAAACATATAGCAGCCAGGATTGTTAACCGGCTAACACTAAAGCCAAGAAAACAAGGCCTTTTAACACATTCCAAGTCCCAGGCCCATGTATCCAGCCAGGTTTTTAAAGCCTTAGGAAAGGCCAACAGGCTCGGGACCATTCTAATCTCCGAGGACCATCAATTTCTTATCAATTCTTACCAATTACAGCATATAGATTGTCTCCATGAAAATCTGTCCCTAACTTGTCTTTCAGGTCTTCCAACAGAGCACTCATCACTGCAATGGGCTTGCATAGTGTGACAGAATTGCAGAGTATTAGAGCTCTGTCTGAACAAGCTTTGAAAACAGTTGTTTGCTTCGCTTGCAATTACCTTGCAATCTTCATAAAACTAAGCAAGAGTTTTATTACTTATTTAATCTCTCTCAAAAGTGCCAGTCTGAGTTACGATCATTAGCATTAGGCTTGAAAAAAAAGCACTCTGTGGCAGTAATACCTGGAGAGTGTTTTTCACAGCTACCATTATCATAGTCGTGCATTAGACGAAGTTGTGGAAAATAATTAAGCAGCTGTTGCATTAGGTTTAAAGGTGGCAGGGTTTGTGGGTGGTAACAGACGATGGGTGCAACAATCTATTGCTTTATTTTTAAAATAATGGTGTGCTTAGACAAAAGTGGAGGTGCTCAACCTACATTTATTGATCTGTGCTATAAAAATTCAAGATTGTAGCATTTGCATTCTATATATTGCTGTTTCTTGATCACAAGAAATATGATAGAACAGCAGTTTTTTGTAAGATAGTCTTCAGCTTGTCTAGAATTAAGATTCACCTCAGTTTACAAAATGCAATAGATGCCTTCCAAACCAGTACACAAGAGTTATGAATGCTAATACAATATTACTTGTAATGTTACAGTAACAGAATTTTGCAAACCTGAATGCCCCTTTATCTTTATGACAATTAAGGAGGGTTATGTCTGACACCCTTTATCAAATTACATTTCTACCCCAACTCATTTTTTTTAATCTAATGTTGCCTTCTTTTTGGTTCTTCCTCCCGTTTCTCAAGTTCATTTCTAGTGCCCATTAGAATACAGGTAGTCCTCAACTTACAACCACAATTGAGCCCAAAAATTTATGTTGTTAAGTGAGCATTTGTTAAATGAGTTTTGTCCCATTTTATGACGTATCTTGCCAAAGTTGTTAAGTGAATCACTGCAGTTGATAAGTTGGTAACCTGGTTGTTAAGTTAATCTGGCTTCCCCTTTGACTTTGCTCGTCAGGTCACAAAAGGTGATCACATGGCCTTGAAACACAGCAGCGGTCATAAATATGAGTCAATCGCCAAGAATCTGAATTTTGATCACATGACTATGGGAATGCTGCAAAGGTTGTAACTGTGAAAAACGGTCATAAGTCACTTTTTTCAGTGCCCTTGTAACTTTGAAGGGTCACTAAATAAACTGTTTTAAGTTGAGGACTACCTATACACTTGGAATCCCACTGGAAACTAAACACCATAGTCTATGTGCAAAGTATCACTCTTTGATCTTCATGAAAAGCTTATACTAGGCAAAGAAAGTAAATTAAGATTAACATGTACCGTTTAATTTTAGTCAAAAAGAGCCAGAGTTTTCTTTTCTGATTCTGACATATTTTGTTGCCTCCTTTTGGCCAGTAAGAGGCCAGAAAACAGCTGAGACGTAGTTTGCTGGATTTGCTTGTGTATTGACAAATATATTACAGTTGGTAAACCACGTTTTATAATTTAATTACTCAGTTCATTTAATGCAGGCATGTCAAACTGCCAGCCTGCGGGCCGGATGCGTCAAACCAAAACTGTGCCCACCCCATTGCTGGCAATGGGAAAAAAGTCCCGATATGTCGCGCGATGTCACGAGTTTGACATGCCTGATCTAATGTATTAACCTGGTTACTGAATTAACCCATTTTCTGGGTTTGCCCTATTATTCCAAAGAATAAATTAACCAAATTAGCAGAAGTTAAATCATAACAAAGTAACAAATACAATTTGTTACTTTTTGTTACACTAGAACAAAATAGTGCTAACCATTAGTTGAGTAGATTCCTGCGCATAGGCATGAGCAATAAATCAGTTTAATTGGAACTTCATATCTTTCGTGCCTGACACAAAAGGAAGCATGATCTTCTCTCATGTCAGTTTTTGTAGTCAAGAAGGGCGCCAACAACTATACTCTTACTCAAGTGTATTAATTAAATGTGTTTTATTTTACATCATATGAGAACATAACACCAATTTAATAAAAGTATACACATTTGTAACTTCACTCAGAATACACTTTTAATGCACAATAAAAAAAAGCATTCCATCTTACAAATTGTTTGCAATCCAAATATACAATAGCTTGGAAAACAAATAGTTTAGAAAAACGAATGCTAATGTAAAAAGACTACTTAAACCTATAACAGTAGAGTTTCTGTATGGCTCTTCTTTACAGTTTTCTTACAGCTTCATCAATATCAGAAATCTGTTCCTTCAGCTGGCTCCACTGTTCTGGATTTAGAGAGATGCCTGAAATAAACCAAATAAATCTTTGGAAAATAGCATCGTTTCATAGTCATGCTAGAACCTTAGTTAACTCTGCAACTGCAGAATTTACCACTGGTTCTAGGGATCAGCTCCTGCAACCCATAGCTCTATGTTAAGAATATTTCGAATTTAAACATGCATAATATGAAAGACAAGTTGGTGTTAGCTGAATCAGATATTTAGGTGCCTTGCATAACTAAACCCCTCAGTAGCTGGCAACAGAAGACAGTGAATTAATTACCAGAAGAAAATGGATAATGTTTGCATTAACTGCACAGAGGCACTGAAACAGTAACAAACAACTTGAGAAATACTCCTTCATCCTTAACACTGCATTTTCTGAAAGCAAAACCCACGACACTATGTGGCATGGCTTTCTTTAAACAATGGATACACTCAAAAGTATTAATTCGTATCTTTGATTTTCAGCAAACCAAGTGTTCACGTGAGTTGTCAAAAGCAAGTTGTCTGGAAAACAGTCAAGTTAATTTACAAAAGCAAGCAAGTCTTATAACATTACACTCTGCAGAACACACAGTTTCAAGGCTTCGAGAAACCACTCACATTATTTTCCAGCCCTGCTTAAAATGTCTGGACATGCCTTTCACAGAAAGTAAGAGCAATCATATAATTAAACTGTAATAGATTTAACAACATAAGGAGACCGGAAGTCTTACCACCTTCAGAAATTATGCCAGTTATCATCCAGAGCTAGGTTAATAAGCCAACTTATACCTCTTGTCAAATCAGGCAGGCATCAATTCAGACTACTGTAACTATTGTAACAAAACTCTGACCTTTTTTATAATAAAACCTTTGATGCTTCCAATTAAAGCTGCACACAGAATGCAGAACAAAAAATTGGAATTATGACAAGCCAGATAATAAGTAAATCTATTAATAACACTTTATAACAACTGGCATTTAATTTCATACATTTTGCATTTGTATAGCATATCTAGTAGCATAAAGTGCCTTGTTCAGGCCTATAGCTTAAGAACTGTGATGCGAGTTTATAGGCTTTTTTGCAAATATGGAGCTAAATTTTACAATTTAGTTGGTTGCCAAATGAATTAAAATGAAATTCAACTCACACTGACAACTCAAGTCTTGTGTAATGTTAAAGGCAGACGGACATAGTTGGAAAATATATTCATCTTCTGTTTGATTTCTGGAACAAGTATAATAAGCCAGGAAAAGGCCCTAAAATTGCCAATATCAGAGAAATGACAACCTTCCAATAAATCTATGTCCAACATTTCTGAAATAATCTTCAGGACACACACCCCATCAAGGGAGCAACAGAAGGACCTAAATGTATTCATTTGGCTACTTCATATAAATAAGATAACTAATATGAATCCTTCACACAAGGCATAGATTCATATGCCAAAATATGTCTTTTTAATAGATGCCTTTCATATGGCTAACCTAATAAAAACAACACTATGAGGTAGAAAAATCAGCATCGTTACTTCAGTCAACGAAACACAGCCCTGAAAGCTACTTTATGTGTAAAGTCACTTGCAAGTTTAAAAAAAAGAAAACCAGCACTTAAGAAAAATGTTATCCCAACCAAACCTCTTCCTATTATACAACTGTCCTGCATTAGTGCACTCAGTATTGCACTGTCAAAAGACATACCTACTGGAACTCTACAACTTTTTCTATAATTTCTCTTATAAGTTAACTAGAATGGCTTGTATTTAGATCTGGGGCACATAGGCTTAATACTGCAAATAAATAAAGTAACATCTAAATGTTGAAATAGCATATGCAAGTAGATAATTACCTTTTCTGCCAGGTTTCATTTCACCTTCTTGATCCATCCAATATTCTCGAATATCAATTAGGACTTTACCTTTAAAATCCCGAACATTGACATATCTCATTTTACCAATCTGTCAGGAAATTAGAAAGTTCAACCATTACTTCAATAAGCACCCAGAAGTACTTTCTTTAACCACTGCTAATATTTTGAACATTCAGCAAGAGTTGCAATTTATATTCTAAAGCAAATGTGACCAGACAAGGCATCCCTGTGGCTCCTATTTTTTTGGCGGTATATTTCTCATTTTTTAACCTAAGAACAAAAACTCATCCTGTAAACTGTTATGCCCGCCAAAGTGGCCGAAAATTTCAACTCCACCCATTTCTGGGATGTCATTGGATAACAGTCACATCTCCCTGACTCTTGAAAAAGGAAATGATCATGTCCAATGTGGATCTGGCTTCAAAAATACTGCCTAGCCCATTCTGGAGGTTGGAAGAAGTATTTCTTCTCAATGAAGCACCTCAGAGGAGCATATACAGGCACTGCAGAAAGGCAATTAGCATTTTAAAAAAAATGTTAAGAAAATTGTGTTTCAAAATCAAATTTCATTGTTGTATTTTTCAGAACAAGTTTCTTTGAGTGGCTAATCACTAAGAAATGTGACAGAGCACATGCATTATGTATTCAAAAATGTTTGCTTTACTTAGATGGGGAGAGAGAATGCATCACACCAATGAGTCCTTTCAGAAATATAAATGCTTAATAATTTTATTTTTATTTTTAAAACTACGTATTTAGCAAATGCTAGTGTTCCAAAACTAATACAGTAACAAGGGGATTTAGAACTGGAGCAGAGAGAAGTTAAAGAACAAATTAATTGGTCAATCTATCACAATGTCAGCAGGAACCAAAAAGACAGCCAGTTTTGAACAGGGAGAAAAGTAAAAACGAGAGGGCATGTAAATAATTTCTAGAAAGATTACCGTCAATAAGGTACACAACTATTGGCATTCAGTTTCACATCTTTTAACCACTAAGTAACGGCTTACTTATTTTAGGGCACCACCACGATATGAAACTTTAGAAATGAATGACCAGAAAGCAACAGCTGCAGAACAAGTCTCCTGAAACCAATCATGGAGGAAACCATAACATTAACATACTACTAGAAACGTTAATTGCTTTTATTAACTACTATACTACTATAAAAAAGAGGGTGAGGAAAACCCTTATAGAGATTTTAATAACCTGACCAGGTTTTACATTGTTGTTTCAGCCCTTTTCTTTTTTTATAGCTAGAATCTAAATTGAACTTAACCTTAACTGAACACATTATGCGTGTAGACGCTGACTTACAACCATTCCATTTAGTGACCATTCAAAACTACAATGGCAATGAAAAAAAATGACTTATGACTGTTTTTCACACTTATGTCCCCATAGTCACTTGATCAATTTTTGGACACTTGGTAACTGGCATGTGTTTATGACAGTTACATTGTCCTGGATCATGTGATCACCATTTGTAACCTTCCTAGCTAGCTTCTGACAAGCAAAATCAATTGGGGAAGCCAGATTCACTTAACAACCGCATGATTCACTTAACAACTGCAGCAATTTGCATAACTGTGACAAAAAGGTCATAAAATTGAGCAAAATTCACTTAACTCCTGCCTTGCTTAGCAACAAAAATTTTGAGCTCAATTGTGGTTGTAAGTTGAGATCTACCTGTAATTAAGTATTGGGAATGTGTTAGCTTGCAAAGTAATTTCTGGATAGAAATCGTCTCTTGCATTGAGCATGCTGGGGATGAAACTGGGTTTTAGTTGTACTTGTGGCACACTGTCCAAAAGATGCTAAACTGAACCAAAAAGCAGGATATAAACCTGTGGCAAAAACAAGGATAAAGAAACATGGAGAGAGATAGTGAATCATGTTGCTATAAACTAAATTTAACTGTATTTTCCTATCTCACACTTATTTCTTTTGGCTTACTATTTCTAACCAGTTTCTGCACTTTGTAAAAAGTTATTTATTGGATATATATATGTAAATGGAACATTAATTGAACTTATGGGCATCTTAGCAGTCCCACATTACCAAATCCAGACAGCAAGGAATAGATGTGTTCCTCCAAGCAGAGGAATTACAAAGTACACATCATGAGAATGTGGTAACCCAGATTCCAATCAACATGTCAGCAGTTACCTGAAACATATTCTCATCTCTGTTGCTACTTTGCACAGAGGAGGCTGCACCTCTGGAACTTTCACCAGTCTTCTGTTTCTTTACAGGTTTTTCTGGGGCTGCCTGTTTTTTCCTTTTTTCCTTGGCATTTAATAATAAAAAAGAAGAAATTACTGGAGAAGTATTAGTTTCAGCTCACACAGCTATATCTTTTCCCCACAATTATATGAGAACAGAGAGAGGATTCCAAATCTGAACATTAAGCCTCTCTGCTTCTACTGAATGTTACAGCAAAGCTACACATTATTTCCATTTTTATAGCCTGACCTAGAATTGAGGCTTAAAATAAATCTAATCTGTTAAATAGGACAGCAAGATAAACTGGTTGAAATTAATTTTAAATCATATTTCACAATTTGTAGTTAAGCTACAGATATGTTATAATTGAACTGAATTTTGATTTATTGCTCTTCAGCTACAAAAGAAGAAACAACATGAGCCAAATCCTTCAGTTGGTCTCGTTTCTTTTTACAAAAGGAGTCCCAAATTATAATCTTGAATTGCAGGTATCAGGCTAATATCTCCCAGAAGTGAACTTCCAGAGTAAAGACTATAGTTTATCTGTGGGAAAATATTTAAATAAGAATTTGAAAAGCAAAAGGCACTATGTTCCAATTATAATCACATTTATTATATCTAGATAAGACAGGTCTGAGCATAAATCTGAAAGTGGAAAGTTTTTATCTGCAGAACAGTTATGAATGGGAAGAAGGTCAATTAACCTCTTTCTACAATAGACTATAAATCAGAATCTAAATCTAATTACTTACTGACAGCAGATGATTTGCATGCTGAAATTTAAAAGAACACAGAATATTAGTATCTGATTATACAATGTATTTAGATTAGCAATAAGAATATTTATAAAAAGGCAAAATACTTAGCAAAGGCAAAAATCCATTCCTCTCTTGTTCCAAGCTTGCTTAAAAAAACCATTGAACTGCAACAGCTATTTGAATTAGGCTACAGTTCTCCATATCCATTCAGCAAGAGTATTTTAGAATTTTATTTTAAACTGGATCAATAGACTCAAGAATTTTGACTAAGGTAAAGTAAAAAAAACAAAGCATCTCTAACCAAGATATTTGCCGTGATTCCAAGAATGACATTTTTAACTTAAATCGTTAAAAATAGCACATGTATTGAGCAAATATTTACTACATAACAGCAAATAATTTTAATTTCTATTTTAATAAAAAGTATACCGGTAGTTTAATTAAAGTATTTCCCTGGTAAAAGTATATTTATATAGTTCACTTCATTTGTAGCTTTTAAACACTAATCCAAAGTCTTGGTTCTTCAGGTTATGTTTATAGTTAGTAAGATAATTCAAAAAGTGTTTTAGATAAAATAATCACCGCTGTATCAGCATCTGAATCACTGCCTGATGAGCTTGAAGACACAAGTTCCTTTGATTTAGGCATTCTAAGAAGAAAAAATGGAATGAAAAAATAGCACACTTCCAACAAACTGAGACTCTAACAAATATGCAAGAATTATCAAGTCATTCCTTCCACCACTGCGATTTCAAGTATTCATACTTTGAAGTTCCATTAAATCAACGAAGGTAGTATGATGTAGTGGTTAACATATTAAACTGGGAGCTGGGATCCCCAGACACCAGCCCATCCACAAAAGTTCACTGGCTGACTCTCTTTATCCCATCTGCCTCATATGGCTGTTTTTCTAGGGAAAAAATAGCAAGTACTTTAAGTTAAGTACTAAAATGAAAGGTGTGTTATACAGGTAATCTTCGACTTACAACTGGTTGTTTAGCGAAGTTGACAGACCACCCAAAAGGTACTCACAAGCCAGTTCTGCAGTTCCAATGGTGATGCAATTACCTGATCATATTTCTGGCACTTGGCAACCAGCCTGCATTTACAGTTATTTGCAGCATCCTGTGGTCATGTGACCACAATTTTGCTGAAAATTGTCATTAATGCTGGGTTTTCCCCAAAAATAGCTCATAGCAAACAATGGGTTCACTTAACAATTGTGGCATTCATTTAACAACTATTGCAAAAAAAATCATAAAAACATGTCAGGTCACACCGTGACTCCCTTTACAATCATCAAAAATTATGAAAGTAATGAGAAGGCTCCATTATAGTTGTAAGTTGAGGGCTACCTGTAATTTCTAGTAAATACCAAAATAATATTTTATTAGGATATCCAGCTTATTTTAGCGTTGAGGTTGTATGAATAAGGGTGCAGTTCAAAAAAAGGATTTAGCTGGGAAGCACAGGTTTTCTGTTTCTTAAGTAATACCTACAATTACTTCTTTCCTCCATGTTTTTCATACTATATTATAAAGACAGTGTATCTGTATGTCTCCAAAACCTTTTGCATCACTGCATCATTACACGGCTGATTGTCACAGAGATGAAGACATCTCAAAGCATCTTGACACACACAGATATCCCACCATTATAGTAAAGAATGAAAAAATGTGGAGAAAAGAAAAAAAGGTCAAAAGGTTATGAACATAAATATATACTCAGGCTATCGAAATTGACAGAGTACAGGATGTGGGCTTCAAGCGCAAGGCTAAAAAAGCACATCTGAGTGCTAGGAAGGAACCATACACAGGTTTTATACTCTCCACTTTGCTTGGGATATAATCTCCACTAACCGAGCACGATAGAAAAATACTACTTCATTTAAGAAAAAATTCCATTCTTTATACAGTTCTGATTGTATTATACTTTAATATAATTCTGTTTATATTGCACCCTATCATGATGAATAACAACTTTACTTCCCTTTTTTAGTGTTCTCACCTGAAGAATTCTTAGAAATTCTAAAGAGCACAATATTTAACTTCAGTAGTCTAAGATTTTGCCTTAATATGGACTTTGAATTTTGAATCTTAACACTGCATGATAATCTCATTTGTTTTTTATAATAAAAGAAAAATGCAACAGTTGAAAAAGACTGAGAAGACATCACAATTTCAGTATGACAAAGCTATAGACATGATAGGAGAAAAATATCTTTATATATTTAGAATGCAGGAATAGATTAATGAAGAAAGTTAAAGAAGTGAAATAATAATGCAGAGTGAAAAATAATAACAAATGGACAAAAATCTAATAATTGCAAAAGAGCTCTTGTTCTCATGCTTTCTTTTAATTATAAAGTAAAAAGGATTTTATTGTACATCTCTGCAAAATATAACCTGTCATTAAAACAGGAATGCAAACCAAAGTGCCAAGTACTCTGGGACATAATAGCAAAACCATAAAGTAGCAAACCATTCTATCAAGATTGGAACATTCTCATCTCATGAATTTCCTTTCCTCTTTATTTACTCTTCCTCCTTTTCCCCAAACATTAGCAGATATGTACTGCTAATATACAGTCAACTGGAGTTCATAAAAACGTACGCCACGTTCATCTGCCAACTATCACACAAGGCCTGAGCCAAATGAGATGCCACAAGGTGCCGAACAGCCCATGAAGAAGTAAATAACGAGATGACACCAGGCCACAAAGCACAATAAATAGTTCAGTGGGTTACTCTACACAGCTCATTCTTTCTTAACACTTTTTTTTCTCTCAGGGCCCCATTTTAAAAAAATATCGAGGACCCAGGACAGGTTTTTTTTGTACTGGTTGCCAGTGTTTCTCAACCTGGACCATTTTAAGGCATGTGGACTTCAACTCCCAGAATTCCACAGCCAGCAATGCTGGCTGTGGAATTCTGGGAGTTGAAGTCCACATGCCTTAAAATGGTCAAGGTTGAGAAACACTGCTTAGCCCTTGAGCCTCTAATGGCGACGGGCTTCCAAACCGAAGGGAGCCCAATCTCGCATCCACGTTCTTGTAGCCCAGTGTTTCTCAACCTTGACCATTTTAAGGCATGTGGACTTCAACTCCCAGAATTCCACAGCCAGCAACGCTGGCTGTGGAATTCTGGGAGTTGAAGTCCACATGCCTTAAAATGGTCAAGGTTGAGAAACACTGGGTTAGACTTACTGTTATTTACCATTATCAAAAATTGAAACTGGCACAATTGCTATCACTTCTCACAATTGTTTGATGGGTTTTTTGATACTGCATTATATTCCAGTGTAGGCTGACAAAAATCATTTTGAGTTCGCAGACCCCCCCCTGAGCGGGCTGAAGGACGCCAAAAAGCCTCCTCGGATCACACTTTGAGAAAAGGGTCCGGGAGGGCAGAAAGTGAGCGCGGGCAGCAGCAAAGGGCAGCGCGTGTCCCCCCACACACACACACACACTGCGCTCCTATGACAACTGGACCCAGCCCCTGCCCACCTGGAGGCCAGCAGGCAGAGGACGATGCAAGCCCGAGCGAGCAGGCGAGGGAGAGCGGAGGCACCACCGGAGCCGAGGCGGGGGCGGGAAAGCTCGCCAGCACCCCGCCTGAAGGGGCGATGAGACCGGCCGGGAGGGGGCGGATCCCAGCCGCCATTTTCTCCCTCCCTTTAGCTGCGGTCGCTGCCCCCCTCCCTTGCCCAACATGGCAGAATTCGGGCCAGAGACGGGCTTAAGGCGGGTCCCTTTCCCGGCTCGTGGGGATCCGCTCGTTCCCCACCACGCCTTCTCCGTACGGGACAATTCAGTTCTCTCCCCCCCCCCCCGGCCTGTTCTGGGGAACTCCTTGAAGGCAACATGGCGGCTTCAACCGTTCCGCAGCGCGAGGCAGCCCACAGTCCGCTCCCGCCTCCCTGACAGAAAGCCGGGAGGGGGGGGTGGAGTAGGGAGTTAAAGGGAAGTGCGCACTCACATTCCACTCGAATCCTTCCACTCCGGTGTTTCTAACGGCTCCCGACCTCTTACTAGTCCCAGCACTACTGAAAAAACGGAAGTGGCGTTTGCAACAAGCACCACCTACTCCTGACCACCACGTGGTGGTGAGAAGGATGCCTGTTCAGTCGCGCGAGAGACCCGCTGTAGGCTCAGCTGGGCCATTTCTTTTTACCTTTCTCAGCTGTTTTCGCCCCTTCATATAAGGCAGTGTTTCTCAACCTTGACAATTTTAAGGCATGTGGACTTCAACTCCCAGAATTCCACAGCCAGCTACGCTGGCTGTGGAATTCTGGGAGTTGAAGTCCACATGCCTTAAAATTGTCAAGGTTGAGAAACACTGATTATAAGGCAACCTCGCAAAGGTTCTGAAGATTAGCCATCATACCTTCGGGTATCAGGGTGGCTTCTTGATTAGGGAAGGTGGTCGTTCACTCCATCTGTGTGATACACTTGTACATACTAAGATCTGTCTGAATTGTTCGATTTTTGCATACTGTAAAAACAGCCGCCTCCGTTACTTTTTACGCTCTTAGTTAACAAGCGAGCAAATTTCCATACCTTTGGGGAAAAGGGACTTCACAATACCTGCACTAGCGAGTTTCCACATTGTTGTTTATTGAATAAAATAACCGGGTTTAAAGAGCAGTCAGAGACTTAGTGCAATATGCGAACTGGCCATTTTCTAGCCCGTGTGTAATTATATTATTACCTTACAATTTTCTGTGATTAATTCCAGAGTGTGGGAAGTCAGAGCCCCAGAGAAGGAAATATTAAAAGGGCAGAAATATATATTTCGTCAAAAGTATTTTAAAAAGCAGAAACCAACTTTGGCTCCAAATCTCTCTGCCCCAAGCAAGACCTAGTCCCATACAAATGCAGATGTAAAACCATCAGAAAGTTGAAGCCAGAGCAATCAAGAAGACAAAGAGAAAATCTGCATGCCCCACCCAAACTCTAGGAGTCATTAGCCCCATCACCTGGGAAGCAGGATATGATAATAGGATTAAACCACAGATATCAAGGCCTAGCAAAACACTCAGAAATAGCCTCAAAGTTCATGCCACAGGAACAGGAAACTATTCCAAACAGGGCTAGAGGGGGTATAAAAAACTTTCTACCCATGTGCTCACTTTTTTTTCTTCTCCTCTGCTCCTTCTTGCAAGGACCATCTTTCTTTTGCAATAAACTGTAACCTTCTTCCCAAAGCAGTCGCCATGTTTGCTTATTTATTCCTGGCTTGGATGAACCAGGATGAAGACTTACTTCTAACAATTGCCTTTCAGGCTATATAATTCTAGTGGTGTCTGAGGGCTGTTAAGCACAACCTTCATCCTAGAGTTTTCCTGCAGGTTCAGGGTCCACATTTCAGTTCAAAAAATGCCATTTCAAATGCTGCAATATGGTCCCAACTGGGTGACTTTCAGGTCTGCATTGTGTTCCTGCAACCTTAGCTTTGGTTTTCTGCACAGGCATTTGCCATCAATGTTAAAGTGGTAGACAGTGCAAGTGACAGTGGAGTGCTGCTCCCAGAATGCGGCCATAGCATGGTAGGTGCTTTTCCCATATTTTTTTCTTATTGATGCAATATCCATCTGCTGCAAGACTATGTCACTGCAGACATGATCAAAAATATAAATCACCTGGATCTGACAGATTACATCCCAGAGTTCTGAAGGAACTGACAGATGTTATCTTGGAACCATTACACCATATCTTCAAAAATCCTAGAGCATCCAGGAAATACCTGAGGATTGGAAAAGGGCTGATGTGGTTCCCATCTTCAACAAAAGAAACTACAGACCAATCAGTCTAACATCCATAACTGGGAAGATCCTGGAAAAGATACTCAAAAAACAGATCTGCAAAAAAATAGAAGCAAACAAAGTTGTAACTTGTAGCCAGCACAGGTTTATTAAGGACAGATCATGCCAAACCAATCTTATTTCATTCTTTGATAAAGTGACTAAATTAGTAGACCAGCAAAATGCTGTGGACATAGTATACTTAGAGTTCAGTAAGGCATTTGACAAAGTAGACCACACCCTACTGCTTGGTAAGCTAGAAAAAGATGCAATAGACAACATCACCACCAGATGGATTTGTAGCTGGCTAACAAACCGCACTTAACAAGTAGTCCTCAATGGTACCACATCCACATGGAGAGAAGTAAGCAGTGGGGTACCACAAGGTTCCGTCTTAGGCCCAGTACTCTTAAATATCTTCATAAATGACTTAAATGAGGGAATAGAAGGGGAACTCGTCAAATTTGCAGATGACACTAAACTGGCAGGAATAGCTAACACCCCAGAAGAGAAGTTCAGGATCCAAAAAGATATTGACAAACTTGAACAATGGGCCCTATCCAACAAAATGAATGTTAATGTGGAGAAAAGCAAAGTTTTACATCTAGGCAGGAAAAATCAAAGGTATAAGTACAGATTAGGCAAGACCTGGCTCAAAAACAGTAACTGTGAGAGGGACCTTGGAGTCCTAGTGGATGATCATTTGAATATGAGCCAGCAGTTTGCCGCCAAAAAAGCTAATACAATCCTGGGTTGTATAAACAGAGGCATAGAATCAAGATCACACGAGGTATTACTACCGCGTTATAAAACCCTAGGAAGACCACACCTGGAATACTGCAACCAGTTTTGGTCACCATACTACAAAAAAGATGTTGAGACTTTGGGAAAAGTTCAGAGAAGAGCAATTAAGATGATCCAAGGCCTGGAGACTAAAACATATGAATAACGGCTGCAGGACTTGGGTTTGGCTAGTCTAAAGAAAAGAAGAAATAGGGGTGACATGTTAGCAGTATTCCACTATTTGAGGGGCTGCCACCAAGAAGAGGGGGTCAAATTATTCTCCAAAGCACCAGAGGGCAGGACAAGAAACAATGGTTGGAAACTAATCAAAGAGAGAAACAACCTGGAATTAAGGAGGAATTTCCTAATAATGAGGACAATTGACCAGTGGAACAGTTTGCCCTCAGAAATCATGGGTTCTGCATCATTGGAGGTTTTTAAGAAGAGAATGGGCAGTCACTTGTCTGAAATGATATAGGTTTTTCTGCTTGAGCAGGGGGCTGGACTAGAAGACCTCCAAGGTCCCTTCCAGCTCTTTTCTATTCTATTCTATTCTATTCTATTCTATTCTATTCTATTCTATTCTATTCTATTGAAATGTTCAATGACCAATGAAGCATGCTTATCTCTATGGCATTTAAAACACAATTAGCTTAATTGATTTGTGGTTTGTAAACCACTTTGTAAGGAATAGTGCTTATGATGAGCAGAATTAATCAGAATCCAGAATAAAATAAAGGGTCACAATTGCTAATCCAAATTGTATTATTTTTCATGGAGAATTAGCAGGCCCTAGATCCAAACTATGGTCCAGATTTTCTCTCTCAATGCTCCAAAACATAACCATGGACATCTAAAATTAAAACCAGCAACCATGTCAGGTGTTTGAATCTGCAAGGGAACCAGCTGGCTTTTATGCCTAAAGCGGGGCTATAACTTATAGACTCCTGGTTGCTAGACCATAATCTTAACCACTAGATCAAACTAGTTATTTGTAAATGGTTTCAATGCTGAAAGTTAAGCTTTCACACATAAATTTTTGTTGAAAAATACATGGAAGCATTATTGCTATGCTACTGGTACATGCTATAATTAGAATGCAGAAATAGTATAACATAATAAATAACATGGGGTGATAAAGTGCGATCTGCTAATAGTATATTCATTTGACATATTTGTTGTGGAATAATATTTGTCATGGAAACATGCTTTTAGCTGTGCCATTTCCCTAGAGGACTGTTTCTTAAAGTATGGTCTTAGGATCCTCTTAGGGGTCCATGAATTCAGAATTATTTGCCAGACTATGTTGAAAAATAATGCAGTATTAAAATCCCCTCAAACAATTGTGAGAAGTAAGGGTGGCACAGAATTGATAAATATAAGCCATATAAGCAAAAGCTCTTCTAAGGTCCTTTTAACAGTGAGAATCGATCCAAAGAGGAAAAAATAAAGAAACACTACTTTAGACCATAGAGACAACTTTTTAGGACAACAGGAAAATCATGAGTCACATTTTAGTGAATCCCATAAAGCAGGGGTCCCCAACCTGTGGGCCGTGGCCCATTACCAGGGCATGGCTTATTCGCAACCAGGCCATGTGAGCCAGTGCACACAAGCATGTGCGCGCACATCATGTGAGCAGCAGGCCAGTATGCGCATGCGTGGTAGGCCGCCATTCGCACAAATTGAACTGCACATGCACACAGCATGCCACCCCCCCCACTCATGAACTTTTGTTCTCCCTGCATATATGCTTTTGTTTTGGGGCCTGCCATTCTGCTGGGGGGAGTGGGGGCTTGTGCCTGGGATAACTTTTACTTTCTACCTTTCCTCTCCCACCTCTATCCACTTGAGAAAGAAATGTGTTGCAGAGAAACGAAACTGGAGAAGATGAGATGTGCTCCAACTGTGCCAGTTACCTGCACATCGTGCCACCTGTGGATTGGCTGGATTTCAAATGGACATTATGACTCTGGTGGGAGGAATATTGCTGGTTTAACTATACCGTTTTAGCGGGATTTCCCCCAGATTTCACCTTGACTTTCCTACTGTCACTAACCCAAAAGTTTCCTTTTGAGACAATGTTTGTTTCAAGATTCTGCTTTCTTGGGTGGTTAGCTGATATGGGTCCTTATACCTGTCCAATTAGCCCAGTGGTGGGATTCAAATATTTGAACAAGTTGTTCTCTGTGTGGATGCTGCTTCCGGAAATCTATTCTGGGCCTGGGCAACAAAAAATTAGCTACTGGTTCTGCCGAAGTGGTGCGAACCAACTGAATCCCATCACTGAATTAGCTCCTTGCAACTCTGAATTTAAGTGTGGCCCTCCTGCTGCTGGAAGGATGATCATCAAAGATTAAGAGCAATAATTTTCACAATCCAATACAAATTAACAATAAAGGCCCAACTCTCTGACACATCTGCAATCTCTAAAACTGATTATTAGCACAAGGAATACTTTATATCAGCGGTTCTCAACCTGTGGGTCGCGACCCTTT